TTCACTTGTTGCTGCTGCTCCCTCGTGACGAACGTGAATCGTCAATGAATGGCTTAGTGGCCCGCAAGCGTTTGGTTGGAAGGCAAGGAGCGGATTCAATAACAACAGGACCGCTCAAGGTGCAGACGTTCCTCGTGCTATTGCCCTTCAGTCAAGGCTCTCAGCAGAAAAGCTCGAGTAGTCGGAAGACTCGCAGGTGGATAAGCGGACGGGGGCTCTCGATGCTCGGACCCACTTCACATTCACGATTGGTTGATTCGCCTTGGGTGCTTTCTCTGCTGGCTGCATGGCTCTCGGTTCGCTTTTCCAACTGCGCTCCCCAGCAGTCAATGGAAGGTCAGAGCGCGTGCGTGCTCAAATAGACGTGCGCGTGGATCCGAGCTGCTGGAGCTAGCGGACAGGAGAGCGGGGCAAGTAAGGCAGGCAGGCAGCTTCAGTGCAGTGGGGATGCAGCTGTGCAGCAGCAAGCACATGGTGTGAGAATAATAGAATACTTACGTGACCGCTTCGCTGCGCTCCAGGCGCAAATGAGTACGGCACGCAATGACTCGTACTGATCTAGTGCAGATGACAGGCCCCTCTTGATCTGCCTTTCTGACCTTCGCACTCCGGAGGCGGATGCAGCAGAGGCAGCACAGCGCCGCATCAGCACACGAGGCCCAGGGTGATCTGCAGGCTTCCCAGGTCTGGCTAGAGTCTGATGACAGCAAGGCAAAGTAAAGCAAGCAGCGAGCAAGCGATCAATTGATCCACGTTGTGATTGATAGATTGGCAGAGTCGCACCAGGTTTCTGCCGCCCAACAGTCGTGAGTCCAGAGTCCTGTCCATCCGTCTCCCTCCTGCCTGCCTGCATTCCCGCTCGTCACTCCGACCGTTCCTCAAGTTGGGCCATCCAACCGTCGTCCGGCCGCCATCCATCTCCTCTCCGTCACACTTCATTCACATCCACCTCTCGATTTGTCACTGTTCCAACGTCTCTATCCTCACGATCCGCGGATACGGCTCGGCCGCGCCTTCCGGGTCTCTGTCTCTAAGATCTCAAAGGATTCCTCGCGGGCGCTTCTCTGAGCGGTCACTACCAATCGATATAACTTGCACGACATCCTCGAGCATTAACGTCGTGCCCTGCGCAACCGAGATGTCGGTCTCTGAGAGCGCGAGCAGCACCTGGGGCCGCAACAGCAAGAGACGCGGAGATGCCAATCTTGGCGAGCAGCTGGAATCAGCCGGGCAAGGGTTTGCATCGCTTCTTCGTGCAGCTTCGCGCAAGTCGAGCGAGAGTTTGAGGAGCGTCAAGAGTGCTGCCAGTAGACGAAAGGTTAGTAGCGATACTGTGCTCAGGTCTCCTCGACTTAGATGGGCTTTGGCACTTGTGATTCTGGAATGGGCGTGGAGCGGGCTTCAGGCAAGCAGAGATGCCGCCGCCGTGGCTGCTTCACTCCCTATCCACACCGATGCGAGGATCAATCCGCTTCCCTCATTTGCATTCGGCCTCTCTCATTTGTGCTTGGCGTCCCGCGGCTATACCGCAGGCCGAGAATTGCGAACATTGCTTCCTATTCCACGGTGCGGGCAGCCGATGCGTACCACATCTGATCGTGCTCGCACATACGTTTTCATCCGCATTTGCTGACGCCCCTGCGATTGTTGCCACCTTTATCAGGGCTCGCAAAGCGAAGGGACAAGTTCGAGGCCAAGCAGTCGCACGACTGCCTACTCAGATGCGCCCCCTGTGCCCCGCATGACACACTACGAGAAGCCAATGCCTTCCACGCCTGGTTCTGCTCGCCCCCGTGGCCAAAGCACGTCTTCTTACCGTTCGGGACGAAGTGAGAACGCGACTCCGACGCAAGAAAACGACAGGAACGAATATGATGCGCCACGCAGATCAGAAAATCGAAGACGCGAAAACGGCAGCATGGATCGGAATCGCGATAGCGCCAGGACGCCAACCAATGGACAAGCGGACGAGGATGAAGTACCACCCATGGCTAGCGAGCGTTTTTACGGCGTCGGTTCCGCCGGCAATTCCATGACTTCGCTCAGCAAATCACTCAGGCGAGGCGTACCATCGAGCAAGAAGGGTGGCAACTCGAGCCAAGCGAGCCTTGGCCAGATGTCAACTGGACTTCGTCCTGTGAACGAAGGCAGGTCCACGGACGACGATTACCAGTTTTCGACCAGCAAAGGTGATGGCAATACAATCGCTCAGCTGTATGCCGTATTTGGGGTGCGTGACCAAGCCTTTCGTATCTCGGGGCGAGTATGACTGACCTTTTGCGCCTTGTGCACACATTTTGCGCAGCTGCCAAAAGACCCATCCGTGTGGACACTTGCAGAGGAGGATTGCGTCGCGGGTGTCCAGCACATAGACGGAGCCGTTGGTCGCTTCTGGCGTCCTGAAGTCCTAGGCTGCTCTATCTGTCCAGCACCTTCCGAAGTATTGGCTCGTGCTTCCATGAGCACGGATCGAGCCGACAAGAAAGACAAGGACAGTTCTAACAAGTTTGAAGGCCGCAATGCTGATGGTCGCAAGCCCCAAAATCCCAAGTTCATCGAGATGGCCGACGGGCGGGGAGGTGTAGAGCGCGCAGAGACCGCGCGGGTGTTGAGCAAAGCTCTCAAGGTGCGTACGGCAGTAGTATGCGTTCTTGCGAGGCGAAAGGCGACGCTGGGAGCAAGACGCCAGCTCACATCGCAGCTTTGCCTAATAGCTATCCTTCACTCGAGAAATCGAAGTCATCTCTGGCCAGGCCAACTTCCCTCCATCTGCGACCTCGCACAGCTTTTCTTTTTCAGTGCCGACGATCACGTCCTCTGGAGAAGTCCTTGAAGTGCAAGGAAACGGCGCAGATGGACGCAAAGCAGCAGGATCGGTAGGCGTTTCTGTTGGAAAGGCTAGCGCAGCAAGCGCGGTTGGTGAAGGTTATGGTCTCGAGCGAGGCTCGGGCGCTACAAATGCTGCAGGTGGCTTTGGTGACAGCCCCGCCCCCGCGACCTTCTACGGTGTCGTTCTGACCGTGTGGAGTGCCGCTGACGAGCGACGCACACGAACGATCAAGCGCGAGCTGACTCGTGCAGCACGACAGCGCAATGGTGCCTCGAAGAACACCAAGCGTGGCAACGGCTGGACCGGTCAGGAGGGCGATGGCCCTCTTGGCGAGGAAGGGGCCGCGGATGAGGAAGGTCAAGGAGACGGGTACTCCTTCCTTCCTGCGCACAACACCTTCTTCATGCCTTACGCGATCTGCATCGTTTCTCGATACCCCATTTACGATCTGCTCGGTGATTGGAACAAGATGGCTTGGCACAAATACAGTCGCAATATCGAGATGCACAATCAGCAGATGGCGACCATCCTGCGCCACCCAGCGCCCCGCCTCGGCGAGCAAATACGTATCGACAGCCCTACCAAGGAGTTGACGTTCATCTGCACGTTCCCGGGAGCACTCGAGTGGGGCACCGGTTTGATCGGCATTGACTTCACTTTCTGGCCCGTCTTCAAGACTCTGAGCCTAGACAACATCCTCTCGATCTGCGAAATCGCGCTTTCCCCAAATGGTCGCATCCTCTTCCACTCTCGGCATCCCGCACTTCTCGGCCTGAGCGTAGAGGCTATCAAGCACCTCGTTGAGTTGCGGGGCTGGCGCGGCGTTGCACATCAGAATTGTCACGCTCGAGACGTCCGCATCTACCTAGAGGATCCCGGTTCTTGGATCATCGCCATCAACAGCGAGCTACGCAGTCTATTCACACCTGCTCCAGAAGTCTGTGTCGTCGATCTCGACATGAACTATGTGAAATGCAGCCGACCTCCGAAAGATGCGCCTAGCCAAGGCAAGGTGCGGGAGAAGCGGCGCCGTAAGCTCGCTACAGGCATCAACCTCAATCTCGGCGACTACTCGCCACCGAGACAATATATCGAAGCCTACCCAGGCGGACGATTTAGACCGCTCAGCAAAATCACTTTGCGCGAGCGCAATTCTGCGTACGAGCAGCTGGAACAACCTTCGTGGTTCCGGCAAGGCGCTGTCATC